ACAGGAGTTGAATGCAGTTCCAGAAGTTTCGAATGAGATTGGTGGCAGTGTGTCGGCAGCAGCGTCATTTTCAGATGCTGTTGATGGACCAAGGCAGATTTTGGGAAAACGATTTGAAGTTCCCGAACCTGAGACAGAAGAAACAATTATGACGACAGAGAATGAGCGTGTTCGCTAGAGCAGTTCGACATGGTGACACCGCCAGAGCCAGAGCGTGAGTATGTGTGAGATGAAATTTGAGGGTGCATGGCACGACACACTGGACACAACGATAGAATTCAATTGAGTTGACTACAGAATGATTCAACGAGTTTCATGGAAATTTACACTTCGAACTTTTGCCATGAGCACCTAGCAGATGGTGGTGAAGTGTACAATAATCTGGAAAATAGAGAGGTTCACACCTTTTCGTGTTTCCACTTTAGGTGGGGTGTTGAAGTTTTCCAGACATGTAGACATGTGCAGTGATGTGCAGTTTGCTAGTTGAAAACTACTTTACTCGTTGTAGCGCTTGTGGTCCAAAATAGGCGCGTGTGGGCTAGCTCGCTATCTAACAGTTTGACCTCTAGGTTTTGTGTCAGATAGCCAAAGCCCTCGTGGCCCGCCCTTGTGGGTTGGGAAGGTGATATGTCACTATTCAAACATTTTTGTTTTTTAAACGGATTTTGCGGGCAAGCGCGGCACTGTATGCCCTCGCATGGCTTAGCCTTACAAAAAGGTGTCCTACGACAGATGACAGTGTCACTACGAGCAAAGCAACATTACAGACAGTTTGTTGCATTGCATTGAATTTGTGAAGGGTTTCAATGACATTGTTTGAAACCGTAAATGGTAAGCGGTTGGATGGAACCGGATGCAATTCTACATGAATGATGTGGTCCTATCCATTAGCATCTTGCTCCAAAGTGGGTGTCGAACTTTTACATCCCAAAGTACATTGTTTGCTATTTCGTTGAAAACTACACTGCTAGCGCTCCTGGCTCACAAAGGTTTAAGCGGGAGTTTTGCCATGTTTGACATAAAACCCATTGGACGTGCTTATGCATTTGTGCTTCGCAGGACCGAAGAAAGAAGAACTCTTTGATGTTGTGGTTGCAAGCATGGCCTTCCGTAGCCATTCACGGTTTTGAACATGAAGTGTTTGTAGTTGGGTTGAAACAACCGAGGAGAACGGACAGTTCTATGTGCCATGACTTATTTCAAGTGGTGCCAACCACAGAATTGCAGTTGGCACCAAAGGTTGAGGACCAACTGAATTCTCAAACGTCTGGGTCGTTGCAACACACCTCTTTCTGTTGGACTCGGTGCCCATAAGTGTTTGATCTACCTGTGAGATCTACAGATGGTATGCAATGCAACGAGCCGCCCACGAACTGATTTCAGACATGCCAGAGATGCGAGACAACATGTAAGAAATTTGGCAGGTTATTTTTCCCAATCACTCTAAACGATAAATTGAGCAATGGGGTTTACAGATTAGGTTTGTGTTTCAAACTCATCACTTGCCACTTATGCACCTATCAGGTTTCATCAGTATTACGGTATTACGGGATTGCTTGTCTTGGTTCTGGCTTATACAGGCCACCCAGTGAGAGGCTAAGTTGCAGAAGTACACCCACGTTGGTATTTTGGTACGGCGTCAGCCAAACAACCAGACTAAAGGATGCACTCTTTAGGGTCAACTCCCCACGAAAAACAATGAGTTCCACCGCGCGCTGCCGCATGCCGCGGTCTGTGCATCGCAGCGTGTCATTGCAAGTGCATAGTGGTGGGGCACCCGAGTTGAGCTGTGAAGAAAAGTAAGAAGCAGCCAATTCAATGATTGTTCATGATTTTACTGTGTTCAATTGAACTGACAGTGCTAGGATGGGTGGCGCCTGCCACTATTGCTGTGAGAAGCCGCAGGAAGGGCCAATCGTGTACTATCATCATGTCTCAATCAGCCGAGGGACAGGCAGTGCGCCAAGAATCATAGTTTAGTATGCTGGCAGGCGGCGGATCGCGCGCAGATAGCGCACCATCCGGTGCATCATTCACCTCATCATCCGGCACACCGTACTACGCACCACCAGGCAGGTGGTTCCGAGTTGGAACTTCAAACCATTTTTGACGTCGAGAGCTTGTTGCGGATCGTGTGGACTACGCCATCCATGAACCTGATGATGAATTAAAACTTCACATCAATCCAAGGGCATTTGTATATCCACTTGTCACGTAAGGTATATGGCCCCTATGGTCAGGACGAAATTCACCCAGAACCTCCATCAAATCAACTGAGAATGAATGTGAATAGACAAATATTCAACATGTTGGTGATTGCCGTCGTAGGGTTCCCTAGCTAGTTTGTACCCACAAATCATTTGTGACATGAGCACGTCAGGAAGCTCACCATCACGACTTCGAGGGCCACCCAGAGGCCCGTCAGCCTGCTGGTCAGGGCATTCTTTTTCAACTCCAGACCGGATCCATTCAGATCTGTAGTCTTACCGTATTTTTCAAGATGCCCCGGCAGACAACAAAGACCTTGCCGTGAAGGAAGTACTTCCTCTTTCTCACCATCCTCACTACAATCTGCCCTTTCTTTCCTTCATTCGCAAGGTTTGGAATTTGCCCTTCCACGCCTGAGTCGAGGTCCTCGCTCCCTCGCGACCTCGCTCACCGGCCAGGGTCATCATCTGCAGAAAAGAGCCACTCTACAGGCAAGAGAGGGAACTGCAATTCCTTCCCCCCCAAATGGGGAGCCGGGTTCCGGAGCCTGTGGAAGTCATCCAGTAACCCCCTGTGTCACTGGATGTAAACTCGGTGTAGCTTCCAAGTTGTTTACTTTTCCATGAAGAGGGTCCTGGGGCCTGCGCTTTTGGGGGTCCAGCTTACTGCACGAAAGACACATTGGGGCAAAATCAGCGGTGTTCCGTTCTCATCATCCAAACCAGCCAGCTTGAGCTGTATATAATTTATCCTAAATCCAAAGAAGCTACCACCACTCGATCGTACCTTGTGACGAACGGACATTGACTTCTTCATGGCGGTGGTCACTCTTACAACAGCAGAACGAGGAATGACAATAAGTTGCAACACCCTGATTTGATTGCACAGACTCTCAACTTGGTTTGGGTTTGGCCAAATAGCTCATTCGTGACCCAAACACCAGAAACTCCGGCTTGACCATTCACAGGTGAAGGATGGTGGCTTTGCCTTAGGCAACTTTGCCGCCACCAGCACCGGGCATATCGAAGCCCGGATGCCTAGAACAGATTTGCAGATCCAGGTCTGTGGAGTCTGTGGAGCACGCGGGGGGGGGGCAGCTGTTAGCCTTTTAAAAGGAGGGCATATTGGTCTTCGCCGTACCCTGTGGTCTTTCGGCTCAGGATTTCTACGAGATTGAAAAGCACAAGCTGGGTGAGGGTGGCTTCGGAGCCGTCCGGAAGGGCAGGCAGGGGGGCTCTGGGACACTTTCTGTTGAATGGACAATGCCTTTCTAAATCCTTTCTGGGACACGTGAATGTCGGCTTCAAGCACAGAAGTTTTTTGCTTCAACACATCGTCTTCCAGATCTCACCTTTTGGGTCAAGCAATCCTTCCACAGCCCAGGGACAAGCGTACTGGGCGCTACTATGCGATCAAGACCATCCGAAAAAAGGGAGTCGTGCCAGCATGTGTTGAGAACAGGTGGAAGGAGCCAGTCTTGGTGGAGAAACAGAAATGCCTTTCCACCCAGTCTTGGTCCTCCAGCCGTGTGGAGCTACCCCCAGTTCACTTTCAGTTCCCAGTTCTGTCCACGCGAACCCGTGGCTTCAGACCCGGGGGGTCTCGAGCCGACGAGCCAGGTCCAAGAGCCTGAGAAGCTGAAGGAAGAGATCGACATCATGCGACTTCTGGACTGATCGAAGAATCCGAAAGATGAAAGATGACGACGACGATCCTCATCATCCTCATCATCCTCATCCTTCACTTCCCTTTTTCAAACTTTGGTCAGGGAGTTTTGCTGAAGAATCGAAATTCAACAGAGAAGGAGTCAGAAGGAGCAAGGTGCAGGGTCTTTGGTTCGGTTGCATTCATGTCGGCTTGTTGTGTTCTTCTGCTGGAGGATCACCCGAACATCGTGCGATTTCAGGAGAGTTTCGAGGATTGGGCCGCAAGACCGGCGGAAGGGGAGGGGATGGGATGGGGACGAGACCATCTAAGTCAGGCGGATTGGACAATGATTACAATTGTTGAGGAAAAGAGAACGAGTGTTCTCTTGTTTTCTTGTTTTAAACTTAAGAAAGACAATGATTCGTTTGTTTGAGCTGAGGGTGAGAGGAGCCATTTGAAGCTTTGCCAATGGCTGGTTGGATGTAGTTTCGCATTCAAATGCAAGGATCACCGCTTACTCCAGCTGGTTCTGGAACTATGTGAAGGAGGCCTGGTTATTGACACATGACAAAGCATTTTGGTATCGGCGAGATTGAACAGGCTACACTGTGTTTTTGTTTGGAGGTCTTAGGGCGGCAGGCCTTTGAGCCTGCCACGACCTTCTCCAAGGTCTGAAAGCACCCCAAAGACACGCAATGACCGTGCCAAGGGGAGCTTATTGACCGAGTGACCACTGAAGGGTCGGTGACCGAGAGACAAGCAGCAGGCGCGAGCTCGGCTCGGCGAAAGCAACGAGCTTTCGTGTTGGCGTAGATCGTGTCCGTTCAGTGGCTCATTGATACTCCTCTAGAATGAAAACACATGTTCATAGCAGCCACATAGCACGAACCTCGCAAGAAACACGTTGATGGTACGTGAGCCCCACAGAGCTGATGGTTCCTGCCATTCAACAGGTGTTCCCCGTGACATGTTTGTTCTTACATTTCTGACGTCTCAAAACCAATGCTGGCAAAGTTTTGAGGCTCCTGTGAGAGTTTGAATTGAATAACTCGGTCTGTCATACGATGGCGAAGACAAAAAGGGGAGGAGGTGTTTTTTTGGCACAAGCAAGTCTTTTGGGTGGTTAGGACTTGGTTGGAACACTACTAGGATTTGCTACACTTATGGATCCCCAAAGGCAGTTGTTTTCTTAAGGTGTAGCACCTCGCTTCTCCTTTTTTGGCAGAGAAATAGAAATCGCCTTCTTTGCACACCACCACTGACGTAGCCCATGTGGGAACTGCTGCCGAGGTATCCTGTACGTTCAGGTCGTCGACGCCCGAACTGACTGGGACCCACGCCCACGGGGACCCAGTCGCCAGGCTGTGTGCGTGACATGCTGCGGGCCATCAACTATTTGCACATGCCGGGAATCCCAGCCAGCCAGCTCTCACAGTGGAGGATGAATGGACATCCGGTGGGGTCTGTGGATTCACAAGATCTTCCAACAGAGGTTGAATGTCTATAGACTATCCCATAGGTACCCCAGGTGACGGGTCCTAGTTCAGGTCACTTAACCTCTCTTGGTGTCTCTAAGCCCCTCGATACCCAGGTTTGCAGACCAGTCACCAATACCCATTTTGGTCCAACGGTGAGTGCTTGGGACCTGCTTTTCTCGTGCAGGAACAATATCATGCATCGTGTACTTGCCTCAGACGAAATGATGGGGGATCTGATCGGATCAGACTGTCTTGACAATCGCCACTTGCCTGTGAAGTTGCATATAAATGTAGCTGGCAGCTGCCACTGGCTGCTGGAGTGTATGAATTGTGTATGTGTGTTATATTTTTAGATGTGCTTTGGTGGAAGGTATAGCTTTTTAAGAGCTTCTTTGTTGCAAAGTCCACTACTGTCGACTGTGAGGCAATTCTTACTGCAATAAGGACCTCAAACCGGAGAACTTCCTCCTGGCCACCAAAGAAGAGGCCGTTCGCCAGTGGCGCACGCGACGACCCAAAGATGGTTGCCAGCTTGGACGTAGCGAGGGGAGCTGCTTCGACGTTGACTTAGTCCACACAAGCTGAGCAGATGTCTGAACCGCGAAAGGTCGAACTCTCCATGTATACTTTAGACAGCCAAGGGTGGTTGTCTACTTGGGGGTCTGATTGTTTGAGTTGGTCTTGTTAGAGAGCGCACCCTTCGCAGCGTTCGCAGATTGGGAAGACTTCTTTGAAGTTGATTGACTTTGGCTTGGCCAAGTGGCTTGGCTATGGAGACTGAATGGGCAACATGGAAGGCGTTGGAAAGCCATGTGATGAGACTAGGAGTTCTAGCAATCCTAAGCAACTCTAAAGGCGACAGCAAGGAATGGCGGACACTTATTAATTAGCAGGAGCTGCCCGAAGGGCGCTTTTGGACCCTATGGAAGAAACTAGTGATACGCTTATGGATGCCCCACACCACAAGGAGTGTCACTTGATGATTTTGATTGCCAAAATGATGCAGCAGCAGAGGCGCTTTCATCCGGGAGAACAAGTTTGTACCAAGGAGAGCAGGGACTGATCGACCAAGTGGATTCTGTTGATATACGGATGATTTGGAAAACGGAGATGTCATTGCAGGCAAACTCAAGTTCAGCACAGACTGAGGACCATTTATATAAAGTGGTTTTGTCAGGTTTTTGGATTGGCTAGGTTCAGCAATCTTTCTGGGCACCTTTCAGCACCTTTAAGCAAAGTTGGATTTTATTTACTTACAGGAGCTTCCGGATGAAGGATGATCAATTCCCTGTTTCTCGCTGTTGGTTTTCTGAGAGCTCATCGAATCCATGTTTTCAGGTGTCACCTGGTATTGTCCCAACGAATGCCTTTCATCTATCACTGGTGCGTTTTGGCGTTCTGGAGCCAGGCGGGCACCCCAAACTACGTGGCGCCGGAGGTCGCCTGGTCGGGGGTTTTGTTGTGCCAAAGACCCATCGACGCATCTGGACGCTGCCTGGTTCTTGTTAAGATGCCAAGTTCCGCTTGTTCAGAACGCCTTCAACGGTTCTGCTCAGTCCAGTCAGAGGTGCTGTCGGGTCGATATGATGAGAAAGTCGATGCCGGGCTCTCGGGGTTGGGTGGGGCTGTTGGATTGCCTGTGAAGTGGTTTGGTGCTGCCTGTGGTTCTTCCACTGAGACCTGGAGCATTGGGGTCATCACATACCTCCTCCTCTCCGGCAAGCACCCCTTCACTGGCAAGACGGTCGAGCAGGTGGAAGAGCTTGGTCTGCTTGAACGCCTGCTTTCCTGCTTCAAGTCACACATCGTCAGCAGTTATCAGAGAGTGTCACACATCTAGCCGCCCACAATGTCGGCACGGGCATGAATGCTGAATTCCAGCCAATACGCCACTTTCTTGCACGCGCATGTGGCACTGATATACCTCATACCTCCATTACAAAGGGGTGGATGGATCTCATCTTGCAAACCTATTCTATTTGGTTGGAGGCCATCGCTATATAGTAGGTTGGAGGCCATCGCTAGTGTGGGCAGGTCCTCCAAAAGGTGAAGACTGCCAACTTCGCCCGATGCCCAGCACCGTGGACCGAAGGACGAGCTTCGAGCTTCGAGCCTCGGGGCTTTTCCGACAAAGGCCACCAGGCGTTTCTTCCAGAGCTGCAGGTCACAGAAGGCAAGCATTGGAAGGGCATTTCGGCCGACGGCAAGGGCTTCGTGCAGGTGGGGGGGCGTCGGGCGTCGGAGGTCGACGCGAAGATGGTGCTTTGAGCCATGAGAATCATCAGATGGTGCTTTTGTGGCCTCAAGCCTCGGAGGCTGAGCCGAAAAAGGCTTCAAACGGAACCAGGCTTCACAATTGCCTGCAAGCTTCAGTGTTTGACAAAGGCTTTGGACACAAGAAAAGGCACTGATACCAGTAGTCACCGGGGGGTCCTAGCTTCACCTTGACGAAGGGGGTCTGCTCATTTCGGCCCTGACGTTTGGTGATGTGCACTGTTTTCCTGAAGCCCATCGATAAAAAGAGGTAGGACCAAGGACGCTACTATGGGCTCCTGGCCTTACTACTAGGAGCAAGGACGCTAAGAACGGGGCTCCTGGCCCTCAAACTTCAGTGCTGAGAAGGGCTTGCAAAGGGTTGGCACCGTCTAGCTCCAGCCTGGAGCTATGATGCGCCGCCCCACATGGCAGGGAGTCTCCTCTGCAATTATTTCGTGCCGTGGGTAGTGATGGTGGTAGAGCTACCTTGTTTGGAATTCTGAATTGGTCTCATGAAGCAAGCAGGTCATCAAGGGCGAGCATCACCTGTGGTTTCCGTATTTGGGCGGAGGTTTACTCGCACCTGTACTCCGCATGAGGGTCACCCTGCCGGCCTTTTCTCTATGCATGTTGAATTGTGATGAATCACACCAAGTTGAAAGATGTTGGGTCACCCGGCTCAGGAGCGGCGTTGCGAGGATACATGTTGAGGCCCACCGTGTCCGACATGCACCGAGGGAGCGACTTTGAGGTTTTCTTTCTTTTTTTCTCCCCAACCCCTGTGGCTGGGGGTCCAAGAACCAGAAGTTGGTGTACCTGGAAGGTCAAGCTACATTACGTCATTACATGGTGTTTTTCTGCATGTTGGACCTACAGTTTTGACCCTATTCCCCCATGTGAAAACGCCACCGGAAACCGGTCTTTGACTCCACGGCGCTGCTGGGCTGCAGGTTTCGGGTTGGTTCGGTGCGCTGATCCCCCCGCGGTGTCCGCACCGACTCTTAGCGCTGGCGGCTTCCGAGCACACGGCGCGGCTCCTGTACGGCTTGCAGGGGTTTGTGGCTGCGTCGGGCGGCCCAAGTGTTGATAGAAGCAACTGAGCTCACTTGTGTGACACGTGGAACTTTCTCCTTTCTCCAGGTCCTAGGTCCTCGCCATCCATCTCGTTTGGTTCTCGCGGCTCGTTTCTTGCAGTTTGTCTTTTCGCTCGCTTCCTGACCACACTGGAGTGCAGAGTCTCAGAGGTAAGAAGAATAGCGTTGGGTGTCGATTTGCATGGGTTGAGGTCGCCCAGTTGTCTGCAGCGCGCTCGTGCCGCGAACCAAGTACTTAGCACGTTCAGAGCATTTGCTGCCTGGGCGGTGGCGTTGCCGCGGAAGACGCTCAACTTGGCGGTTTGGGTGGTGAGCGCTAGTGTACCAAGGCGTGGCCCATCGGCGGGGCGCTTCGTTGGGCCGTGTGGTGTTTTTTCCCCAGATAGCTTCCCCAGATGGCGAAGCTATAGGGGTTCTTTGGCTGCCGCTGCCGCCTTGTCTGTGAAGCTTGTCTCCCTTCATGATTTCGCTCTTGGCCGCCTCTGCCGGCTTGTCTCCCAAGCTTGTCTCCCTTCATGATTTGGCCTTTGGCTGCCGCTGCCGCCTTGTTTCCCAAGCTTGTCTCCCTTCATGATTTCGCTCTTGGCTGCCGCTGCCGCCTTGTCTGTGAAGCTAGTCTCTTTTCATGATTTCGCTTTTGGCTGCCGCTGCTGCCTTGTCTCCCAAGCTTGTCTCCCTTCATGACTTCGCTTTTGGCTGCCGCTGCCGCCTTGTCTGTGAAGCTTGTCTCCCTTCAGCGTTTCGCTCTTGGCTGCCGCTGCTGCCTTGTCTGTGAAGCTTGTCTCCCTTCATGATTTCGCTCTTGGCTGCCGCTGCCACCTTGTCTGTGAAGCTTGTCTCCCTTCATGATTTCGCTCTTGGCTGCCGCTGCCGCCTTGTCTGTGAAGCTTGTCTCCCTTCATGATTTCGCTCTTGGCTGCCGCTGCCGCCTTGTTTCCCAAGCTTGTCTCCCTTCATGATTTCGCTCTTGGCTGCCGCTGCCGCCTTGTCTCCCAAGCTTGTCTCCCTTCATGATTTCGTTTTTTTTCCTGTTTTTACACTTTTTGGCTTAGACTAAGTTGATTAAGTATTCTGGAGCACTTTTTGTATTGCTTTTCACCAGATAGCGTGAGCTATGGGTGTTTTTACTTCAAGTATGGGAAGAGCTGCGTGTGTGCGTTTGCGAGCTTGGGTGCTATTGCGGCTGCAGGGTGCTGCTGCTGTGTGCGCTTGGGAGTGCTGGCGCCGTTGCTGCTGGTGCTGCCGGAAAGGTTATTTTCCTATCTGCTGGAGTCTATGCTGGCGCAATTCCCTAGATAGCGTGAGCTATTGGGTTTCCTATTTCAAGTATAGGAAGAACTGCGTGAGCTTGGGTGCTGGTGCCGCTGCAGGGTCCCGCTCTTGTGTGCGCTTGGGGCCGCTGCAGTGCGCTGGTGCCGTTGCTGCTGGTGCTGCCGGAAAAGTCTTTTTGCTATCTGGGGTCTATGCTGGCGTAACCTGAGGAATGGCACCGTGGATTTTGGTGGCCACGCCGCGATGGGTGCGGCTGGCGTGGTTTTGATTTGGCTGAACCAGGTGGGAGGCTGTGCAGTTGGTCCGTTACATGAAGGGAGACAGAAACAGAGCCTTCTTCCAGCTCCCTTTCTTGACCTCTCCGTTGCCCCCATGCTCCCAGCGACTCAGGCGAGTGAAGAGCTGATGGCCTTGGACTGGCAGAGGGAACTCCTGTGCCAAGGGCCTGCGCTGTCAGAACACAGAGTTGGAAGCGCTGGCCTCGTCGGCAATCCAGACATTTGCGAATTCGGGTAAAGCGTGCTGTGTGGCTGTCAAACCGTTTGAAGAGATTTGAGGTGCTTTCTTGGGCATTGCGCGATTGCAGGCGAGAATTTTTGTTGTTGTGAAAGTTTGCAAAGCGGGATGTGGAGACCATCCTTGTTCAAAGGCAAATGCTTGCTGCAACCATAAAGAAAGAAACAGCAAAGTGCTTGCTGCAAGCGATCGAAGCATACAAATCGACCCAGCTAGCTGACCCACGCAGACTTGTTCTAGCTAAGCTAGCGAAGGCACCACAGGTCGCTTTGTTTGCTCAAAGAACATTGAGACATTTTGTTTGATTTGTCAGAAATGTGCGAGAGATTGAGGTTCTGTGGTCGCTCACTTCTAACGTCAAATCCCGGGGCCAGCCTCGTTCTGAAAGAGCTTGGCCGCCATTGTGTGACAGGGTAGATCTTCGATCGCAACGCGCAAACTGCAACACCATTTGTTTCAATACACGCACACACACACACACACACCTCAGGCATGATCTCAGGCACTCTCTCTCTCTCTCTCTCTCGCTCTCTTGCAGGATGTTTTGCTTCAAAACCATCTTTTTGTTTGCAGTTCGGGAGTTTCCAAAGCTCTTTTCCCGCGAGACCTGGCCGTGGTTGGTGGATGCTGCAGCCTTGGCTTCTGCTCGACAGCTGCCGGCAGTGGTGCCTGAGCGGGTGTTGTTTGCGCGCAGCCCTGCAGAGGCCAAAGTTGGGGGTAAAGTGGATGAAACAGATGATGCGCCCGCTTTTGATTCTTACTGTAAAACAAGGGTCAGTCTCCAGTCTCCTGTTCACACCACAAAAACACAACCGTCAGTTGAATCAGTTGTTTTCATCATCATCATCATCATCATCATCATCAGTGTACCACAGGTCTTGATACACATCCTGGAGCAGCTGCGCCAGCCGGCCTTCATGGTGGAGATTGGGGTTGATCGAGGTGTGCTCCGCAGTGCTCTTTGTCCGAGTGCTTCTTGCTTCCTGCCCTACAGCCCTTGCATTCAGGTCAGACGTCCCAGCTGCTGCTGGAAGCTTTGCCCAACTTAACGTTACTGGGCGTGGACCCCTACCCTGGCAGATACAACGGGCAACCGAGCACCGAGCGGCTGGACCAGATGGGCGGCGAGGAAGCCTTCAGCCGCGCAGCGAACATCATCTGGGTCACAGGTTCTTTTGTACATCCAGATACAGATACTGTACATCTTTATTTTGTTTGGGTCATTTAGATCATTTGGCGCCCAAATGTGGTTGCTGGCCTTTACCGTGTGTTTCCCAATCAAACACATGGTTTTTCTTGCCAGTGGAAGCTCTAAAGTCCATTCGAATCAAGGCATTGCCCTTGGGCGCTACGCTCAGTACGCGGACCGAGCACAGATCTGGCGCCAGTCCAGTGCTGCGGCCGCGCGCCGGCTGGGGTCAGCAGGGCTGCCCAGTTGGTGAATCTGAAGAAGAACCCAGAGTCAGAGCCTGAAGCCAAGCTCCTTTTCCAAGGAGCTACCAGGATAGTCGCAGCCACCAGGATTTGCAGGTACTTTTGGGCATTGATCTGGAAGTAGTCCTGTGGTGTCGACTGCGTTTGCATCTCGTGAAGGTGATTTCTGATGTTATGCAGTCATGTGACATGGCGCTTCTGCTTTGCTTTGGATGGTGCTGCTCGGTGCTTCTCTGATTCGCTGAGCGTCACAAACCAACCAGCACGCCGGGCACGCCGCCAGCGGAATTAGCGGTGTTGGTGCAGTGTGCTGAGCGCGAGTCTTCGGTTGGATGAACATCAGCAACTCCTCGAGATCGGTTCCACCCAAGGTCCGACCCCAAAGCGGTCCTCACTGGCCTCACCCGTCTCACGGGCCTCACGCCGAAAAAGACCCCGAGATGTTGTGTCAGGTGCTGCGGTTCTCATCGTTCGATCTGAAGATGTTGGTTCAGGTGTATGTACGTTTCTGCAATCTGATGTTGAAGCAGGCTTTTCAGTGATTCTTTAGGAGTTGTTTAGATCAACTCATGGTTTGACGTGAAGAATTATGGTGCCAGCGGTGGCTGTAGCGGTGGCTCCTTCTCCCAACTTCTAAGGCCCCGGATTTGGTCTTCGTGGATGGGGAGCATGACTTCGAGTATCTGGTCGAAACCGCGAAAACGTGGGGGAAACTAATCTAGACACCTCAGCACCTGACCATGAGCTTTTGCACATGTCCTCAAGTGCTTCTTTCAAGAACAGGAAATGTGTCAAAAACAGATGAACACCAATCAGGTCCGACATGCCAGTGCCTTAGGGACCTCAAGGGACCTGATGCTTCAATGCCGACAGACCCAGTCGACAGACCCAGTCGCGACCAGGTCTTGCTCGCTTGATCTGCGGCTGTGGATGCCCAAGCTGCGGCCAGGTGGGGTGTTGGCAGGCCACGACTTCGCGGCCAATGAACCTGGCGTGGTGCGGGCAGTGGCACAGTTGGTTCAAGAGCAGCCAGTGCAGCCGGACAAGGAATGGTGTAGAAGAAGGTTGTGTTTTTCTTTTTTGTGTGTGTTTTCCTCTTTTTGGGATCACTGTGGGTGTGCCTGGCAGAGCTGGGTCTCGTGGTGCCGTGTTTGTTTTTGAACCATGGTGACGTGGTGACGTTAGTTCGGATGGACAGCGCGGCCTCGAGTTCGGATGGGCGCTTGACATCGATCGTGTCATGTGGGGACGACCAGCGAGCGAGCGTTTGGCTCCTTGGGTTTTGGAGGGTTTGCGCACCGATCTGAAGCGCAGGATCGAAGGGCTTTGCACCTGGGACCTCACGGAGTGTGGTGGTTCGTCTAGGGGATGCGACCTACCTGCGAGTAGACCACCAGATGCGAACGATGCACGAAGCGGGAGGTGCATTTAAGCGAGTGGACGGTGAGAAGGAGGACACCACCTCGACATCGACGTGTTCGGGGAACTGCAGTGGTCAAGGGAACTGAGCGCGGAAGGCTTGTTCCCACCAGGGTGGAATGCTTCAACCAGCGGTTGCCACCAGTGGTTCGCTGCTCGTCGGTGTTTGGCCTTGCTGCCTCCGGTGCCCGGCCTTGCTTCCGGCGTCATCGCTGGCTTGCTCCTTCCTTCATGCAAGTACAAGTGAGAGAGCGGATGCAAAAAGTTTTGCCTGTGCCTGGTGGCTGGTGGCAGAATGCAACTGTGAGGATCGATCGATCGATCGCGATAGATAGATAGATAGATAGGTAGATAGATAGATCGATGCATAGATAGATAGATAGAGAGGGAGAGAGAGGGAGAGGGAGGGAGAGGGAGGGAGGGAGGGAGGGAGGGAGAGAGAGAGAGAGAGAGGAGAGAGAGAGAGTGTGAGTGTGTGAGCGTGAGAGTAAGTGGGTGGCATCAAGCTTCTTGAAGGCTTTGAAAGGTCCAATTTCCTGTTGGTTCGATAAGGATTCGTCGTTTTATGTCGTGTTCCTATCTACAGATTTTACAGATAATTCGCACCTTCAATGGACGTAAATTGCAGACCTGCACAGGGCTCCCCAGCCCTGCTTTCTCACCCAGGGCAAAGAACGCCTAGATTTCCCCTTTGCGAAGAGGACCCAATTTGTTGAAAAGGCCCCGCCCCGACCACCGACTGCCACCGACTGCCACCGACTGCCACCGATTGCCACCGGGTGCTAGGCGTGCCTGCAGAAGATTCCGATGGCACGGCCCTCCGCCGCCCATTGCTTGCGACACCGCTGGCCACTTGACGCAAAGGGCGCGAAATCGATGTGGTCCCGGCAGAGTTGCCGTGTGTTGTCTGTCGCGCCTCTTTGGTGTTGCGCTCGCCGGCTGAAGGAGCTCCAAATAGTGAAAGAGCGAGCCCCGACCGAACGAGGATTGAGCGCTTGGCGGAGAAGGAGAGCGGGCCTGTGGAGAAGCTGCAGATGGATGGCTTGGCTGCCTTTGGTCGGATGCATAAGCTCAAGAAGGCGCTGACATTTCAAGCGGGTTTGTTGGATGCAGATTGAGGTTCAGTGGATAGGTAGGCCGTCCATGAGGGTTTGAGAGATTGGAACATTGGTTGGTTTGGTGGCTTTTAACAGTGCAATCGTTGTTTTTAAGTGATTTGTATCGCCAAATGGCGTAAGGCAGTGGTCACTGTGATTGCGACGCAGATGTCAGAAGAGAGGACCTACCTGATGAAAACAAGCGAGAGAGAGAGAGAGAGAGATCCGCACAAGGAATGGGACATACTTGGCATTCACTCAATCTCCTTTGCCTTTTTGTTGGTGAATCAAACACATGACTTGGAGGTTTTTGGAGCGACATGGTGCAGATTCCAAGCAGGAAGGAAGCAAGTAAGGTAAAACAGCAGGTGCATTTAGCTTAAAGCTCCCATCCTTGAGCTATGGAAGGCTTTTCCGATCACGATAAGAGGATCGATCAACTACGCAGCATGTTCATGACCATGGACCGAAATGCCTTAGACTCAGAAACCATTTTGAGACAGAGCCGTGCGGGCGTAGCATCGCTCGTTCGTTGCTGCAAACAAAGGAAATCCGAAGAACGGTCCCACCATGAGATTCTGCATTCTGTCGTGGTACAATATATACTGTGCTTCAAGACAAGCTAAAACTGAAGAATTGCCAATGGAACTGAGCATGGTAGGCAAAAGGGACTCGTTTCTGCTTCTTGGACTCTAAGGGGGATGGTACCTTGACTGTTGCGGAGATCAAGGATGCCTTGGATCAGGCCAAAAGCGAGCCTATCCCATGAGAGAGCGGCCAGCAGCATGTCCTTCAAAGAGGCATCTTTCATAGCCATGTTTAGTGGGTCTCAACAAAGAACGGATAGGTTACACCAAGTTACACCAAAACTGTCAGCATGACGTACCGCCGAGAACATGTTGCTGGCTGTACGTGTGCGGCACGTGCGTGTCAGGCACATGTCGAGATGCCGAGCAACATTGAGCAACTGCTCTATGAGGTGCCGACCCGTGATGGTTTCTACCCAAAGGAGTGGTGAAACCATGTTAAGCATGTGAAGCAAAGCTCGGAAGCTATACATAAGTGAGGTTAGGTGAGGCTGCAGCCTGACACAGCCTTTCTGGGCAAGTCTTGCTAAGCATTACGCAGGGGGGTCGACATTCTTGCGTGGAAAAAGAAAGCGGGGAGAACGCTGCTAAGACTTTGGGTTGGGAGCCCGCACCTCACCAAGAGAGCCTCATGCTTGCAGCGTGAGTTGCTAATAGAATGGGCTGCCAAAAAAGTTGCTGAAGCTGCAGGTTGGTAACCCACAGCCCATCAAGAAAGCATATACTTGCACTGTGATATGCTAGCATGCCCTGGTGCTGTCCATCAAGACAGCATGACTTGCATCCTAAACGCGCTAACACGGC